AGGGACAGCCCCAGGGGTGGGATGTGGATCTGCTGGGGACAGGGGGCTCTGCAGAGGGACCAGGACAGCCTGGATCCATGGGCTGGGACCACTGGGGTGAGGGACAACAAGGCCAAGAGCTGGGTCCTGCACTGGGGTCACACCAAGCTCAGGGAACACCCCAGGATGGGAAGGGAATGGAGCTGGGAAGGGAATGGAGCCCCAGGAGAGGCTGAGGGAGCTGGGAAGGGGCTCAGCCTGGAGAAAAGGAGGCTCAGGGGGGACCTTGTGGCTCTGCACAACTCCCTGACAGGAGGGGACAGCCAGGGGGGGTCGGGCTCTGCTGCCAGGGAACAGGGACAGGACAAGGGGAAATGGCCTCAGGCTGGGCCAGGGCAGGCTCAGGGTGGACACCAGGAGGAATTTCCCCATGGAAAGGGTGGTCAGGCCTTGGCAGGGGCTGCCCAGGGAGGTTTGGAGTGCCCATCCCTGCGGGTGTCACTTGGAGCCCTGGGCTGGGGACACGGTGGGGATCAGGCACAGGCTGGACTAAGAGGAGTTTCACAACCAAAATCATTCTGTGATTCCAGGAAAAACTCCTGGTCTAAGCCCCAGGGTGAGCCCAACAACCCCACCTGGTCAGAAACTGATAAAGATTGTACTGGACTCAAGTTCAACAAAGATGGAACAAGTCACAGTATTTAATCAGAGGTTTCTTTGAAAGCCTTCCAAAATTTTTAACACAGGCTCCCTCCAGACAGAACAAACTCAAATCCAGGAGAGCTCCAAGCCACCTGAGTTTCTGTGACTTCACATCTGTGTCAGCTGAGAGCTCAGAACAGAGACAAGTCCCAGCCCTGAGGAACTTGCAGGTCAGGGTAGGAATGGTCAGGGTGGCAGTGGCACTGAGGTCCCAGCAGGTCAGGGTGGCAGTGCCACTGAGGTCTCTGCAGGTCAGGGGAGGAATGGTCAGGGTGGCAGTGGCACTGAGCTCCCAGCAGGTCAGGGTGGCAGTGGCACTGAGCTCCCTGCAGGTCAGGTCAGGGTGGCAGTGGCACTGAGCTCCCAGCCCCGTGGCCAGGGTGCCATGTGAAGCTGCCAGCCCTCTGTACCCATGCCCAGCCCCCGGGGCAGCTCCAGCCCGGGCCCAGGAGCAGAGCAGGCCCTGCAGAGCCCGAGTGTGTGAGCACAGATTGTTCTGGCACAGGCAGCTCTGCTCTCCAGCACACAGCCAGGGTGCAGAGCAGCCACAACCCAACCCAGAGCCAAACCCCCACCTTCCCTCACGGCCCCAAAGCCTGAGGAGCAGAAATGGCTTTTTACCACCTGCCTGTTGAAGTTCATGTCTGGCCATGGGATTTACCATGAGCCTGCAAACAAGAGCAAATCCAGCAGCTGAAAGTGTTTCCTTGAAATAAAGCAGTGCTCCTGTTGGGTAAGAAAAATGAGACATTACAGGAGGATTTTTGAGCAGGAAGAAGTTGGACACAGTCTAATTAAGAGCTCGCCCCTCCCTCTCAGGAAGGGAAGACTGTTTTTTGTGGAGGGGATTTCTGAGCACTCCGTGCTTCCAAGAGAACCTGGCAAAGCCTCCCCTCTCCATCTCACCCCACAGGCCCCAGCACGGCTTGCAGAGCACAGGAGAGAGCTGTGCAGAATATTCATTCTTAGGAGGGGCTCTGAGCTGCATTCCTGCCCTTTCCCCCATTACCCCAGACTGGCAGATGGAGCAGGAGCAGCTCCCACACACCTGGCAGCTCAGAGCTGTGCCAGAGCTCCTTGGCACACCTGGGGAGGAGGGAAATTCCAGTGGGGAACACCTGGAAACAGGACCTGCCTTCCCCCATCACAGCTGACTTCAGGATAAAACAGCTTGCCCAGTTTTAATTCATTAATTTCACCTCCTACATTAACTTACGGTGCGAAATCTTCCTCACCAGCTTCACAGGTCTACACTAAAATAATTCTAAGTTTGTGAAGTGTTAGGTGTTACTGAAAGGCCACAGGAGTACAGAAGCATTAATCTGCATTTAAAAGCCTCTCTGCCACTGCCCCAGGCAATGGGAACTGAACACCTACACAGGCCTGATAAGTTTAACTTTGTCTGAGCTGCCAGACACACACAACACCTGCCTCAAAAGCCTGCCTGCTCCCAAACTGCTCCTCACTGCTCCAGCTGTGCTCACAAAGGCCTTTCTTTCCACAAGAACAACACAAGCCTGAAGTGCAAGTCCAACCGATGACATTTCCATTGCCTTCTCTAAAACCAAGACTTTTTATCCCTTAGTTTTATCACTTTCTGTTAAAAAGTAAATAAATAAATATTTAAGTTAGGGTCTCAGTTCCCTCCCTGTTTGCTTTATGCCAGGACACCCCTTTACCTCTTAAATCACAGAACCACTGAGGCTCTTGTTCACTCCAGACCAATGAGTCCAAGCTTTGACCTAAACAAAGTTAAAAGTTGCACTGACAAAGACTGAAAATACCTCACCTCGCAGTCAGTCAGTAGCTACTTAAGTTACTTAGATTTTAAGTGTTTTTTAACCACAGCACATCCTTTGGACATCCAACTCTTTTAAAATTTAGTGATGAATTGGCAGCTGCTGTCATAATTCTATTTGTTTCCACCTGGCCAAATACAATGTGTTATCTGCTGTGGAATTTTAAGGTCTCCTACTGTTTCTTCCAGATCTAGGCTGCCTAAAACTCTTTGTTACATAATTTTTTTTAAATAAACCTGTATTATTTAAGCACAGCTGAGAAGTTAAAATGGTTCAGTCCTTAAAGCCCACAGGACTGGGAAAGGCCCATGAAACTATTTAAATTTAGGTACAGTTCATCAACAGAAATCTGTTTGAACACTAAACCAGAGACAACAAAATCATGCTTTCTTCTCCCTGGTACCAAGGGGAAAACAATTAATGTCATAAAAATATGATGAATTCAAATCCTTACCACCTGAACCACCTCATCTGAATCCCTCCTAAGGCTCTCTAAAGCAGCCCAGAGCAGGCAGGCTGAGTGTGGAGCTCAGGGTGGCTCAGGCAGCAGCCCAGACCCAAAGCCTGGCTTTAAAGTTCCAGATGTGGTTCCTTCCCTCTTCAAAAACTGTCCCAGCTTCCACAACACACAGCTGAACACACCCACCCTGGGTTAAAGAACTGAGAACATCCACCCTGGTTTAAAGAACTGAGAACATCCACCCTGGTTTAAAGAACTGAGAACATCCACCTTGGTTTAAAGGGCTGCCTAACTGAGAACATCCACCTTGGTTTAAAGAACTGAGAACATCCACTGTGGTTTAAAGGGTTCTAACTCAGAACATCCATCCTGGTTTAAAGGGTTCTAACCCAGAACATCCCCCTGGTTTAAAGGGTTCTAACTCAGAACATCCACCTTGGTTTAAAGGGCTCAGAACACCCATCCTGGTTTAAAGGATTCTAACTCAGAACATCCACCTTGGTTTAAAGAACTGAAAATATCCACCTTGGTATAAAAGGTCTGCCTAACTGAGAACATCCACCCTGGTTTAAAGAACTCAGAACATCCACCTTGGTTTAAAGAACTCAGAACATCCACCTTGGTTTAAAGAACTCAGAACATCCACCTTGGTTTAAAAGAACTCAGAACATCCACCCTGGTTTAAAGGGCTCAGAACATCCACCTTGGTTTAAAGGGCTCAGAACATCCACCTTGGTTTAAAGGGCTCAGAACATCCACCCTGGTTTAAAGAACTGAGAACATCCACCTTGGTTTAAAGGGCTCAGAACACCCATCCTGGTTTAAAGGATTCTAACTCAGAACATCCACCTTGGTTTAAAGAACTGAAAATATCCACCTTGGTATAAAAGGTCTGCCTAACTGAGAACATCCACCTTGGTTTAAAGGGCTCAGAACATCCACCCTGGTTTAAAGAACTCAGAACATCCACCTTGGTTTAAAGGGTTCTAACTCAGAACATCCACCTTGGTTTAAAGAACTCAGAACATCCACCCAGGCTTAAAGAACTCAGAACATCCACCCTGGTTTAAAGAACTCAGAACATCCACCTTGGTTTAAAGAACTCAGAACATCCACCCTGGTTTAAAGAACTCAGAACATCCACCCTGGTTTAAAGGGTTGCCCAGCTAGGAACATCCACCCAGGGCTGCCCAGGACTCACTCCCACTTCACCTGTGCTGTGTGTGATGTAGCTGAACTGCTGGAAAAGTGCTGCTTTTCTCTTGCTGCAAAAGCCCTTCCCCTTGCATTATGGCTCCTTCCTAGGTCCCCTCCAGCACCCAGCACCCCCTAAAACATGTATTGCTCTTGGGCCCTGGGATAAACCAGAGGCCTGGCTGCATCAGCTGCACCACAGCCAACAAAAAAAGCCATTTACTGTTCCAAAAACCCCAAAGGCAGGGAGTCTGGGACAATGCTGGCAGGGCTGCTGCATTCACCACCACAGGAAGTGCACAATGAGGGTGTCCCACAGAGCTCACAGGAGGTCCTGGATGTGTCCCCTTAAATACAGGATTCTGGAACTGTCAGAGCCAGCTCTGGCAGCCCAGCCCTGGAGGAGCTGCTCCCTCCAGGAGTGGGAAGGGACCTTAAAGCTCAGCCAGTGCCACTCCTGCATCCCTGGCAGTGCCCAAGGCCAGGCTGGGGCTTGGAGCACCCCGGGACAGGGGAAGGTGTCCCTGCCACGGCAGGGGGATGGAATTCAATGTTGTTTAAAGTTCTTTCCCACCCAAAGCATTCCGTAATTCTATGATTCACCTTCCCCAGACGAGGGATGTGTTGCACAACAAACAAAATTCTGGAGGAATTTTAAACAGAGGAGTCCATCTTTTTACGTGATCCCGTATTTCCACACGTCCAACACATAACAGAAAATGCAGGAGTCACTGCTTCACAAAACAGGTTTGTCATAAGTGAAAAATGTCACTATCAGTTTTGTGAGTGTCAGAACAGGCAAGTGAACATACCAAACACAAGATCTTAATGTCAACACCACAGTCAATCCCAACAGATCCCGTTACCTGAATCACACTGAGAAGTCTCTCAGGGCAACTTCCACTTTCCTGGCCTCACTTCCTTCTTCAGACATTTAAACCACAACCTAAGGAGAGGTGAATAACACCAAGTGAGCTTTTCCTGCAAGAAAGCAGCGGTTTTGCACAGAACAATTACACTGCTTTATTTCACAGCCCCAGCACGGTGCTGCTTCTGCCCTGGCTGCTGCTCCTGTTAACTCCAGAGCAATGCAGCCTGCACATCCCGGGTCTCTGTTAACTCCACAGCAATGCAGCCTGCACATCCCAGATCTCTGTTAACTCCACAGCAATGCAGCCTGCACATCCCGGGTCTCTGCTAACTCCAGAGCAATGCAGCCTGCACATCCCGGGTCTCTGTTAACTCCAGAGCAATGCAGCCTGCACATCCCGGGTCTTCATTAACTCCAGAGCAATGCAGCCTGCACATCCCGGGTCTTCATTAACTCCAGAGCAATGCAGCCTGCACATCCCGGGTCTCTGTTAACTCCAGAGCAATGCAGCCTGCACATCCCGGGTCTCTGTTAACTCCAGAGCAATGCAGCCTGCACATCCCGGGTCTTCATTAACTCCAGAGCAATGCAGCCTGCACATCCCGGGTCTCCATTAACTCCAGAGCAATGCAGCCTGCACATCCCGCCCGCCAATCCGCGCCCGCCCGGCCCCGCCTTCCCGCGCCCCTCAGCCAATCGGCGGCCAGCGCCGCCTGGCGCGCTCCCGCCTCCGCCACAGCGCGCGCGCGCCGCGCGGCGCTCACCCCGGGGCGCGGTGGGAGCGCGCAGGCGCAGCGCGAGCAGCTGAGGGGGCGGCCCCGCCCCCGGCCCGCCCTGAGGGGCTGGGGCCGCCTGAGGGGAGCGGGGCGGGCGGAGCGATGGTCGGGGCGGCGCTGGGGACTCCGTCAGCCACGGGTCCCCTCACAGCCATCCCTCAGCCATGGCTGTCCCTCACAGCCATCCCTCAGCACCGTGTCAGCCATGGCTGTCCCTCATTGCACGGATCGCTGTTTGTACGGGCTGGCAGGGCGGCTCAGGCTCGTAAGGACCGTGCCTCTGCAGGAGTGTCCCCTGTCACAGCTCCTGCCGTGTCCCCTGCCACAGCCACGGCGGCTGCTTCCAGTGACGGCGTCCCCTGCTCCATGGCGCGACCATCCCTGTGGATAACAGCGTTCCGTGGGCGCTGGGGATGTCGCTGCCCGCCTCGCTGGCAGCCCCCGGCAGTGTTTCCTGAGGAGGATCCCGCAGGACGGGCTCTGTTCCAGCCTCTCTGTCCCCGTGCAAATGTCACAGCGCCTGCAGGACGGGAGGAGAATTCCTGCTCTGGAGAGCGGGGACCACTCCCGGCTTGCACGAGCGGGAGGGAACGCTTTGGCAGGGAATAGGAAATGAGAGGGGAAAGTGCGATGCTCATTGCGAGCTGCCTGTGCCCATGACGGTGCTCGCAATTCCGAATTTGTCCCGGAATTCCGGAGCCAAGCCCACGGGTGGCAGTGGGACCAAGTGATTCCTGCTGGCTGCATCTCCACCCGAAAGGAGGCAGCAGCCAAAGCGGCATTTGGAAAAGCCGTCTGCCCTGGGCTGCGGGGAGAAGTGCTGCGACCTGCAAAAACACCAGATGGTGCCATGGCTTCACTTATTTCTCTGTGCCTCTGACTCCGGGAGCTCAGGCTTCCCCCTCCTCTCTGGGCTGTGCCCATCCTCCTCCTTCCCAAGGGTCCCAGGGGAATTCGGCCAGGATAGGAAAAAAAAAAAAAAAAAAAGGTTTTACTTACTGAACAACGAGACAGCCATTAATTAGTCACACGGATTAAAAGGAATAAATTAAAGTCTAGAGATGCTGCCAAGATGCCACCTGAGGGCTGGGGTGGATTATTCCCACTGGCAGGTCTCCAACCCCTTCCATACTTAAAATACAGAATTGTTGATACTTTTAATGTATTCAGGGAAAAGAAATCCCAGGCTCTTGCACGTTGCTCAGTGCTGCTGATTTTACTGAGTTGTTAAGTGCACTCAGAGTTTTCCTGTCAGAAATCAGGTGAGTTGGTTACACACCTGTTTCCCCAAATCCCTCCATTTTAAGGGAAATCAAGTTCCTGTCGCTTGATACAGGTCTCTTCCTGTTTCTTTCTTTCCCCCAAATCTAAGTTCCATGCTCCTCAAGTGTCTTGGGACCCCAAGAACTGAGGGAACCGCAGAATTTATTGAGGCTAAGTAATAAACCAACGTTTTCCCCTGAGAATGTGCCAAAAGAAGATTTAGCAGATATCCACAGCTTGTAAAGCCAGGGAAGTGCAGTTCCCTGTCGGGGGAAGGCAGAAGGAAATCCCTGAAAACCCTCGGCAGGACCCAAGGCCACAGCCCAGACGGTTTTGGGGAGCAGGAGATGGACCATGATGGGGAGCACACGTGTCCAGTGCCGCGGTGTCGGTTCCTCTGCCCACCCACCCACCACCCCCCAAACCCGGGGAGAAGGTGAAGAAGGAGCAGCCTGCACCCTAAAACCTCCATTTTAGCTCTATATATATTACTGTGTTCTAAACATACTACATATTCTAATATATATATATTCTAAATACTATCTATTACTATATTCTAAAACCCCAAACTCTGAGTTTCCCACCCTGTGACATCACACACTTCTAATCAAACTCCACACCCACAATCCCAGCGCTCTCAATCAATTCTGGAAGCCTTCTCCACAGCCTCAGGTGAAATGCAGTGCTCTCTTGAGGGTCTGTGCCTTTCAGCACAGAAAACTCTCAGTATCCAGGGCTCCAGCACTGAGGAACTACAGGATGCTGTGTTCATTTCCAAAGAGGGCTTTGTGGGAGGAAGAGGAACAGAACCTGTGGCAGGACATGAGCCACAGGGAAGGATTTTGTGTGGTGCCATGTCCTGAGGGCACAGATATTCCAGTGCCAGGTTGGGAATGGGCTGTTGGGAGCAGCCCTGGATCCTCCTCTGAGGCACTAAGGTGGATTTTTATACATATATATATAAATATTAAATATATATATATATATATATCCATGTGTCTGCCCCAGGGATTGCTCCTGGGCTGTTTAAATGCCCAGAAATCACCTCACTGACCCGAAGGTGCCCTTGGTCCACACCCCCAGCACGTTCCTGATTTCAGCGTGGTGTCACAGCCTGTGACAGACCTGGGCTGGCAGCGGCCCGGAGGGGGCTGGAGGTGCCACGGGGCCGTTCTGTGGGCTCATCCTTGGGACACCTCTGGACACAGAGTAAAACCTGTGTGCACGAGGCTCAAGGCAGTGCCCATCCCACTGGAACAGGTGAATCCCATCCCATCCCATCCCATCCCATTATCCCATCCCATCCCATCCATCCCACCCATATTTATATATTTAGTTGCAGAATAGGTGTGTGCTTGTTTCTTCCCTGTTAGTAAGCACTGAATTATGTTACCAGAATCATAGAATTGTGTAGGTTGGGAAAGACCTTCAAGAACACTGAGTCCAACCATAAGCCTAATGGTGCCAAGTCCACTAGCCCATGTCCCTAAGGGTCATGTCTGCGTGTCTTTTCAGTACCTCCGGATGGTGACTCAGCCATTTCCCTAGGGATCATACTAAGTTCATCACAGTTTTAGAATATTTTCTTCTTGCCTTTTAAAATTTGTTCCTTAACACTGTATTTTTAAAGTACTTGTTTTAGGATTATTAGTAATTGTTGGTTTTTATGGATACAGATGTCCCTAGCATCTTCAGTGGTGACCAGATTGGAATGCTTGATCCCCATCAAACCCTCTTTGGACCTCATGAGTCGGGCCAGTGTTGGAATCTAAAAGAAGATAGCAAGGAAATAAACGAACTTACGGACCAATTTGCACCTTTCATTGGTGTATTTGGCAGCACTAAGGAAACCTTTAAGAATGGAAACTTTCCTGGTACATTTTTTCGTTTCCCACTTCGTCTGCAGCCTTCCCAACTGAGCAGCAATGTTTACGACAAACAGAAGGTCTTGGAGCTGTTTGAATCCTTCAGAGCAGATGCAGACACAGTATTGCTTTTCCTGAAGAGTGTTCAGGATGTTTCATTGCACATACGGGAAGCTGATGGAACGGAGAGGCTGGTTTTTAGAGTAACTGCCAGTGAGAACAAGGCCTTGAAACACGAAAGACCCAATTCTATAAAAATCCTGGGAACTGCAATAAGTCAGTATTGTAAGGGAGTTCCAAGCAATAGCATAACATGTGTGACGTACCATGTAAATATAGTTGTAGAAGATGAGAGCATTAAGGATGCACAGAAAACATCTTGGTTAGTGTGCAATTGTGTGGGTGGTCGAGGAATGTGCACTGAACTGGATTCTTTAGCTGATGACTTGAAATTTGTTCCTACTATTGGAATAGCCATGTCCCTAGCAACTAACGAGGAGGAAAATGGAGCTGTAGCAGACTTTTCAGGAAGAGCATTTTGTTTTCTGCCTTTGCCTCCCGGCGAAGAAAGCAAAACTGGACTTCCAGTTCATGTTAGTGGTTTCTTTGGTCTCACAGACAACAGGAGGAGTATCAAATGGCGAGAGCTGGATCAGTGGAGAGATCCAGCAGCTTTGTGGAATGACCTTCTTGTGGTAAATATAGTGCCTAAGGCATATACCACCCTTATTTTGGAAGCTATCAAACGAATGGAGACTGAGAAGAATTCAGATTTTCCATTGTCGCCTGAAAGAATTTATAGGTTATGGCCTGATGAGAATAAAATCAGGGTACCCTGGAAACCAATAGTAGTACCTCTCTTTAAAGACCTGCTCCAGCATACAGTTATTTACTCAGTGAGTAATCAGTGGATAAAGGTGGAACAGGTGTACTTTTCTGAAATGGATGAGAGTTTGGAGTACACGCAGTCTGTTCTCAACTACCTCCAGAATTCAGGGAAGCAGATTGCTAAGGTACCAGCAAATATTGCAAGTGCAGTGCATCTTACTATTTCTGCTGCTAAAGCTGTGAAAAAAGTGACTCCTGCTGTAGTGCGGCAAGTCCTAAGGAAATCTGGGCACAGTGGACCTGCTGAAGAAAAGCTTCATCTTTTAGAATTTGTGCTTTCTG